CACATCTGAGTTGACAAATATGACATGTGGGGTTCCTCAAGGCTCCATCTTGGGGCCTCTTCTCTTTAACATCTACATGCTACCACTGGCTCAGATAATGAAGAACAACAAAATAAGTTACCATAGCTATGCAGATGACACACACATTTACGTAACAATTTCACCAGGAGACTATGCTCCAATTCAAACACTGAGTAGTGCATTGAACAAATCAATGACTGGATGTGTCAGAACTTTCTCCAATTAAACAAGATAAAACTGAGGTAAATGGTTTTTGGAGCCAAGTCAGAACGTATAAAAGTTAGCGCTGAGCTTCAGTGTGCAATGTTCAAAACAACAGATAAAGCCAGAAATCTAGGTGTAGTCATGGACTCTGACCTGAGTTTTCAACAGTCACATTAAAACTGTTACTAAATCAGCCTACTATCACCTAAAGAATATATCTAGGATTAAAAGACTAATGTCACAGCAGGATTTGGAAAAACTTGTCCATGCTTTTATCTTCAGTAGACTCGACTACTGCAATGGTGTCTTCACAGGTCTCACTAAAAAATATATTAGGAAGCTGCAGCTGATTCAGAACGCCGCTGCTCAAGTCCTCACTGACACTAAGAAAGTGGATCACTCCTGTTCTGAAGTCTTTACACTGGCTTCCTGTGTGTCAAAGAATAGATTTCAAAATACTGCTGCTGGTTTATAAAGCACTGAATGGTTTAGGCCCAAAATACATTTCTGACCTCCTGCTAAATGATGAACCATCCAGATCTCTCAGGTCTTCAGGGACTGGTCAGCTTTCTGTCCCCAGAGTCAGAACTAAACATGGAGAAGCAGCGTTCAGTTATTATGCTCCAAATATCTGGAACAAACTCCCAGAAACCTGCAGGTCCGCTGCAACTCTTACTACTTTCAAATCCAGCAAGAAGACTTTTCTTTTTGCTGCTGCTTTTAATTGAACTATTCATATCTTAGACTGCACTGTAACTTTTATCCATGTACTTTTTTCTTTTAATGTTTAATTGCACTGTAACTTTTATCCATGTATTTTTTCTTTTAATGTTTATTTTATTAGCTTTTCTTTTTAATGACTGATTTTAAATGCCATTTTCTTAATCTCTTTCATTTTTTGTAAAGCACTTTGAATTGCCTTGCCTTGCCTTGCCTTGCCTTGCCTTGCCTTGCCTTGCCTTGCCTTGCCTTGCCTTGCCTTGCCTTGCCTTGCCTTGCCTTGCCTTGCCTTGCCTTGCCTTGCCTTGCCTTGCCTTGCCTTGCCTTGCCTTGCCTTGCCTTGCCTTGCCTTGCCTTGCCTTGCCTTGCCTTGCCTTGCCTTGCCTTGCCTTGCCTTGCCTTGCCTTGCCTTGCCTTGCCTTGCCTTGCCTTGCCTTGCCTTGCCTTGCCTTGCCTTGCCTTGCCTTGCCTTGCCTTGCCTTGCCTTGCCTTCCCTTGCCTTGCCTTGCCTTGCCTTGCCTTGCCTTGCCTTGCCTTGCCTTGCCTTGCCTTGCCTTGCCTTGCCTTGCCTTGCCTTGCCTTGCCTTGCCTTGCCTTGCCTTGCCTTGCCTTGCCTTGCCTTGCCTTGCCTTGCCTTGCCTTACTTACAACATGCATGGCTATCGTCGTCTCCATCGTGTGTGCTGCGGTCTTCCTTCGTGGTGTGCCTGGCGAGGTGTCATTAAAACAATGCATTCCATTCACTTCAGGTCAAACTAAGGGAATCTTGCTCATTTAAAAGCCATGCTTTTTAGCTGGTATAATTCAATCCAATTAATTTCCACCCCTTGCATCAACGTAAACAAATCATGTTAATTTAAAATCACATAGTTATATGTTGGTTCTATTAGATGTAAATGTGTTCAGTTCAAAACATATATATTTGTCATTAAACAAACTCAAAATAGATAGACTGGAGTAACTCTGTAATCATTTGTTTTAGTGTAGGATTGAACCCTGTGGTACACCACAATAAATATCAGACCAGTAATCAAAACTTGAGTCTGTGATGTGTACCAGTTTATTGAGAGAGGTGATTTGAAGTGTTTGATCAGTCAGTAAATAAAAACGTAATAATAAACAATGACGGGCGTTAACTTGAAGTCAGATTAGTGTGAGGTGTTTCATCGAGAGAGAAATCTGTTTAAAAGGATCTTAATCTAATAAGAATATTTCTTCAGTCCTAACATTTAAACGTCTTGAACACCACAACACAAGCTGCTGTTCCAATATAACATATCATCACATTGTGCTTGAAGATAAACTGAATCCAATGACAAAGTGAGAGGACCTAGGATTGAACCCTGTGGTACACCACGTGAAATCACAGACTCACTGAAAATAATGTATTTTAAGTTCATGGAGGCTACTTACATTTATTTCAGGCGTGTGAACAAAAGGCCAGATTAACTGATTGATTTAAACATTTGAACCTGTGGATGTGAATCAAAGGCAGTACATGTGTTTGTATGGTAGGGAACAATTGTTCATACATTTCAAATTAACAAGCATGTCAGCGACATTACTGTATCATCACAAACTATTGATGTTTAACAGAGAGAGACTCCCTCAGGTGGATGTTCAGTCAGTCAATCAGAGACAGGCTCTGTATATATCTGAGACCTGTGATATATTGATGAAGAAGAGGATAATAGGGGACAAGATGGTGTCGGGCAGTTCCTCGGTGACGCTTGTTGATCCCCACAAGTGTTGGATATTCTGCGTCTGGACTCCAGTATCTGCATCGATTAAATTGTATCGATGATTAACCTTGAAAAAAGTGGCGACAGATAACCCACAAGTACTTATCTTTCTTTACATCGTGTCCTTTCTGCCAGGCCATGACAACATGCACCTATAGAAGACACTACAGGAGAGGGAACACCACAGAGAGAGGAGCAGGGACTCTTTAAGACTTGCTGGACATGTTCACCTTTTCAGGTCTTAACCAACTCTACACTGAACCAGAAGATGTGAACTCTATGAATGACTCTGTCTCAGTGTTACGTGGTGCCAGCAGGCGAGCTGTTGTTTGTTGTGTCCTCCTGCTATTCTCTCTTTTCCCCTGTGTTTCCCTGCAGGTAATCAGCAGCTGATCAGAACCTGCCTGAGCCCTTCAGACTGGTGGCTGATTGGATCCCCTCACCCTCAGCTGGCCTATCAGCAGCCAGAGCCAGTCATTAAAGGAGGAGCTCCAGGAAGCCTTCTCTCTCTCAGACCTGCTGCTGACTCCAGAGCCTCGGTGTGATCTTTGACTGATTATTGAGTATTGTTAAATGTGTGTGTGGTGGAGGATTTAGGCACGTTTGGGATACCCTCTACATCTTTTCAGATGCATACATTATCAGGGGAAAGGGCCAAATTCTGAAATGTTCTGAAGAAAGTCAGAATTCCAAGATTCTCAGAAATAAGTCAGAATTCGGTTATGTTCAGAAAAAGAAAGTCATCGATATTTTCAGGATAAATAAAGTCAAAAATGTCTTTTTTATGATTTTTTCAGAAATCTTTGAATTTATAAAAAACTCAAACTGTTGATATTTCCCCGTAAAGTCAAAAGTTGAGATATTCAGGGAAAAATCACAATATCGGGGTTTGTTTTGGAGAAGAAAAAACACTTTAGAAAAATTAAACATTTTGAGATTTTCAGAAAATGTTGAGAATTTGTAGATGTTCATACTGCCTGTGCTGCAGCACCTCTTTTCACCCTCTGACTGAAACCAGAGCCCAGTCTGCTCTGATTGGTTAGCTCCATAGAGATGTTGATAGGGGAATAAACAAAGAGTCTAATGGAGGCCTATCAGGAAAAACTAAAGCTCCTGATCAGATATAACAGGAACTACAAAGCTGGTTATCAGCTGACTCTTTGAAACCATGATTTCCTCCTCAGGCTTTCGAGCCCACATGAAATCGGGCATTTGTTGTATCATTTGACTCATGAACAGCATGAAGGGAGTACTATTGGAATACATGTGATGATGTGGTGAGGTGTTTGGATTTGTCAGGTTGCTCTATCCTTTCACAATTCTCCATTGATTTTTCAGAAATAGTATTGATTATACCTCAATCTGTATGGATATACATGATACATGATATCTGCAAGATAATAAGAGTCTGTCTAACGGACTGGAAACTTTGAAGAGGAGGAGCTGGTGTCCGTCAGGAAGAAGCTGTGGAGCAAAGCATATAATGAGTCAGCAATCCAGAGGGGGAAGAAGTACTCTCATCATTTACTTCAGTAAAAGTAGTAATACTGCAGTGTAAACAAAGTCAAATTCCTGCATTCAAATGTAACCTCAATAAGAGTCAAACAGTATTAGCATAAAAAAAATACTTTACGGAAAAAGTATGCGTTATGCAAAGTGGCCATTTTAAGCACCAGGTATTTTCAGTTGTTAAAATGATTGATGGGGGTAAAGGTGGGGTTTATTTGAATGACTTTATAGAGTACTGGGTAGCTTCATCTATAATATAATGTGTGTCGATTTATATTGTGTATTAATATCCTAAATCTGCTGTCAGTCAATCTGTAAAATACACGTAGTGAAGTAAAAACTACAACACTTGCCTACACAATGTAATGAAGTCAAAGTATGAATTAGTAAAAAAGTAGAATTACCTCAATGTTTTACTTCCTGTTACCACCTGGCTCAAAAGGCCACAACAAAAAGGAGACACAACATGTCAACGGGTAGAAAAAGGTGTTTATTTGCACAAACAGTTCAAATCAAGTACGGTGTATACTCATCAGAGCCGGGTGCCTGCAGGAGAAAGCAGAGAGAGCACAGAGAGGAGCAGAGAGGCTTTCAATAGCTGCAGGACACCAGACCCAGGTGCCCTGAGTTACTGCAATCGATGCAATCACTGGAGCCAACGCAGCACAGACAGAACAGCCACACCCTCTCTACTGATGGACCCACAGGGGCATCACACTTCCGTACAGTATGAGTAAATGTACTTAGTTACATTACACCATTGCAACAATCTAACGCTAGTTCTTCACCATGAACTGTTCCACCTCACACTGCAGTGAATCGTATGTTAGTCAGGACCAGTTTAACCAGTTCATCCACATTCAGGAGCCGGTGGACGCACAGGCCGGACCGACTGCTCTTCATCTTTGGAGTCTCCCTCAGAGGTTGGATGTGTGTCACTTTGAGAGGAGAAGATGTACTCTTCGAGGTGTCCACTTGATGGCGATGTTGTTCAGAAAAAGGCGGGATCTGAAGTGTGTGGATGTTCAGGGAGAAGCTGCAGAGGTGTTTGTACAGAGTGTTGGTGTTTCCTGTCACTGTGGGCCTCACAGCACAGTAGTACACAGCCGAGTCTGTCACTGCAGCAGAGGAGATGCTCAGATCTGGGTTTTATCCTCATTCGGTTTAACGGACAGTCGAGAGTTGGTTGCATTTTGTGTTCCCAAGTGAAAGATGAGGAACTCTGGTGGATTTCCTGGATATTGTCGATACCAGAAGAAATAATCATCCAATTCAGCAACCTTGGAGTATCTGTAGGACAGAGTAACAGAGCTGCCTTCTGGACTGAACTCTTCTCTCTGTAATGCAGTGAGATCTTCACAGCTGACCCCTGAAGAGAGGAGTCATTCAAAAGACTCAGTTAATAGATCACATTTGATCAACATTAGAAGTTAACGTGTTTATGCAGAAAGTTACGTACCTCTTAGAATGGAAACTAACAGTAGGGAATGTAAATAATAGTGTAATGACAGCATGTTGAACGAAGGTGATGATGATGGTCTGTGTTGAACTCTGGTGAATATGGAAGTTCCTCTCTCTTCTATAGTTCAGGAACATCTTAGCTCCTCCCTGAATCTCTCTGTCTCCTCTTAGATCTGTTTCACTTCTCTCAGTTACGCTTCCTCCTGGGTGACAGATCCAAAGGCAGTCTGTAAATAGAACATGAGAGGACCTATGATTTATCCCTGTGGTACACCACGATTAATCACAGACCACCAGAGTAACTTGTTTTATAAAGGTAAGAACAAAAGTAATCAAAACTTGAGTGTGTGATGTGTACCAGTTTATTGAGAGAGGTGATTTAAAGTGTTTGATCAGTCAGTAAATAAAAACGTAACAATGACAGGCGTTAACGTGAAGTCAGATTAGTGAGAGGTGTTTCATCGAGAGAGAAATCTGTTTAAAATGATCTTAATATAAGAAGAATTGTACTTCATACCCAACATTTAAAAGGTCTTGAACACCACAACACAAGCTGTTGTTCCAATAGAACCTTCAATCACATTGTGCTTGGAGAAGAACTGAAACCAATGAGAAAGTGAGAGGACCTAGGATTGAACCCTGTGGTACATCACATTAAGTCACAGACTGACATAAAAACATAAAGACTTATTTTAAGTTTATGGAGACAGTACTTGTATTTCAAGCTGCGAAAAAAGGCCAGATTCACTGATTGAGTTAAACATTTTAACTTGCAGATGTTAATCAAAGGCAGTGCATGTGTTTGTATGGTAGTGAACAATTGTACATATAGCTCAAACTATCAAGCAAGTAAACTACATTACTTATTAATCAAAAACTATTGATGTTTGACAGAGAGAGACTCCCTCTGGTGGATGTTGAGCAGTATTGTGTTGTCTTTGCTCCAGAGGTTTTTGTACAGAGCGTTGGTGTTTCCTGTCACTGTGGGCCTCAGAGCACAGTAGTACACAGCAGAGTCTGTCACTGCAGCAGAGGAGATCTGCAGAGCAACTGATGTCTTGTTGAGTGTAGCATCAAATCTGTCTTTCTGGAACTCTGCAGCATTCTCTCCAAAAGCTGAGTAACGCATCAACATGTACTTTGGGTAACCATTGACTTCTTGTTTGTACCAGAACAGATAGGCTGTATTAGATGTCTTAAATGTGCAGCCAATTGTAACTGTGTCTCCTTCAGTAGCGCTGACTTCTCCTGTTGTCTGGGTCACTGTGTCTTGTCCTTTACACTCTGGGGAAGAAGAGACCATGCAGAGGAAGAGATGAATCAATACAGATGAAGGATTAAAGGAGAACAATCAGTAGCTTTAAACAGTTACCTAGAAACATGTTGTAGTTTCTATCTTACCAAAGGAGAGAGCAGCAAGAATAATCCACAGCCAATGTTCCATCTCTACAACAAGGTTTAAATCAGCAGCAGGAAGTAGCTGATGTTCAGCATTCAGTGTGAGGATGGTTCTCTTCACAGCAGCACTTATTATTGACTGGATGGTTGAACACAGTGCAGAAGACGTGCACCGCCTACTTGATCATGTGGCCCTCTAGTGGAGGTGAACAGCTCGGTACAACAGTGTGGAGAAAAGGCTTCCAGCAGCTTGTCAGTGTGTCAGCTGGTGTTTTTGTACAGAGTGTTGGTGTTTCCTGTCACTGTGGGCCTCACAGCACAGTAGAACACAGCAGAGTCTGTCACTGCAGCAGAGGAGAGGCTCAGATTGATTTGGTTTGACTGCACTTTAATCTTCAGTCCAGGGATCAGATTATTCATAATGTTTCCAGTTCCTAAATGAGAGATGATGAACTCTGGTGGTTTTCCTGGATATTGTCGATACCAGTAAAACTGATCACCACCAGCTGCTTGTTTGGAGTATCTGTAGGACAGAGTAACAGAGCTGCCTTCTGGACTGAACTCTTCTCTCTGTAATGCAGTGAGATCTTCACAGCTGACCCCTGAAGAGAGGAGTCATTCAAAAGACTCAGTTAATAGATCACATTTGATCAGCATTAGAAGTTAACGTTTTCATGCAGAATGTTACGTACCTCTTAGAATGGAAACTAACAGTAGGGAATGTAAATAATAGTGTAATGACAGCATGTTGAATGAAGGTGATGATGATGGTCTGTGTTGAACTCTGGTGAATATGGAAGTTCCTCTCTCTTCTATAGTTCAGGAACATCTTAGCTCCTCCCTGAATCTCTCTGTCTCCTCTTAGATCTGTATTTCACTTCTCAGTTACACTTCCTCCTGGTTTTCATGTCATCACGTGTGTGTCGTCTGCATAGCTATGGCAACTTATTTCATTGTTATCCATTAACTAAGCTAGTGGAAGCATGTAGATGTTAAAGAGAAGAGTCCCCAGGATGGAGCCTTGAGGAACCCCACAGGTCATATTCGTCCACTCAGATTTTTAGTTACCGATAGAAACAAAGTGTTTCCTGTCCTTTCAGTAGGATTCAGACCAATAAAAACAATGCCAGAGTCCCACCCAGTTTTCCAGTCGGTCTAGTAATATGTTGTGGTCAACAGTTTCAAATGCAGCGCTGAGATCTAATAATACTGACAGTGAGATTCTGCCACTGTCTGTGTTTAAGTGGATGTCATTAAGACGTTAATTAGAGCAGTCTCAGTGCTGTGTGACTGGAACACATCAAAACAGTTATCAAGTGCCAAAACAGCTTTTTAATTGTTAAAAAACATTTTTCCAATTATTTTACCCGGCCTATAAATGTTCATCAGTGAAGCGCCTAGGTTGTTCTTTAAGAGTGGTTTGATGACTGCAGTTTTCAGGGCCTGTGGGAATAAATATGAAAAACAGGAAGTGTTGGTGAAGGTCCATCAGGAGTCTGGCACCTGGTGGAATGCTCTCATTGAACATTATTAGGATACATGTGAGAGATAAGTTAAAGTAACGTGGTGTTGAAGCATCAAATAAAGGAGGCCTCTCTGCTGGGGGTTGAGTTGTTTGAACATTAGTTGTGTTGTTTCCCTAAAGTCTGTCAGAGAGAGAGACTCCCTCTGGTGGATGCTGTGCAGTATTGTGTTGTCTTTGCTCCAGAGGTTTTTGTACAGAGTGTTGGTGTTTCCTGTCACTGTGGGCTGCAGAGCACAGTAGAACACAGCAGAGTCTGTCACTGCAGCAGAGGAGATCTGCAGATCCACTTGTTTTTTCTCCTTGTTCAGTGTGGCTTTCAGTCCAGGGATTGGAGGTTCTGCTTCCACCACGTAAGGCTGTGTTGTGTCAGTGATCAGGAGGAGGAACTGAGGAGCTGATCCAGGATCCTGTCTGTACCACTGGAGATTATCAGCTTGAACTGAATATGTACAGGACAGAGTAACACTACGGCCCTCTGAGGAACACACTTCAGCACTGATGGCAGTAATAGCATCTTCCAAGCTGTTACCTGGAGAGGAAAACATCATGCTATCATTACAGCTCCAAAGTCACAAACCCATCAATCCCTTAGTGAAAAAACAACTTTGCTGTAAAGCGTTAATCCAAAATCCAAACTGGATGTGTAATGCTTTGAAAAAAGTCTTCATAGTTCCCCTCCTCCTGTCAGAAACATACGTACCTATGAGAGCTGAACAGAGCAGAATTGCAGCCAGTTTCTCCATGTTCACAGAGGGGAAAGCTGTGGTTGTTCAGTATGGAAACGTTTAGTGAGTTGTGTTTGGTCTGATGTTCACAGCTGGAATCAGAGAGGTGTCAGTCATGAAGCTCTGCAGTCAGCAGGAGGAGACTCGGATGTCCAATGAGTTTCTGGAGCTCTTCATCACAGCTGTGAGTCTTAGAGAATCTAATCTAGACTGTATCATCACATCCTGCTGAAGGTGAACAGAGAGAGGCTCCCTCTGGTGGATGTTGATCAGTATTGTGATTTCTTTGCTCCAAAGGTTTTTGTACAGAGTGTTGGTGTTTCCTGTCACTGTGGGCTGCAGAGCACAGTAGTACACAGCAGAGTCAGACAGCTGAAGCTTCTGGATCTTCAGAGGAACAGATCTTAAGCTTGAATCCAGTGTGGATGAGAATCTGTCCTCGTCCTCTGTTTTCCCCGTGCCGATCTTAAAGCGGCTCAGGATGAATGTGGGGCTGTTGTCTCCGTGCTGTTTGTACCAGAAGAGATAGTAATTTGATGAAGTGGTGTTATAGTGACAGCCAAGTGTTACTGCCTCTCCTTTAGTAGCAGTCTTTTCTGCTTCAGGTTGCAGCACGTTGTCTCTTTGGGCTCTGCATTCTGTAAAACAGCAACAAACAGTATCAGGGACTTGTTAGAGAATCATCTCAACGTTGGACTGATTTCAAAGAGTTCATACCAAGACTCATAGCAGCCAGCAACACTGAGATAACCAGATGCATCATATCTGCAGGTTGAGAAACTCTGAGCTACAGAGAGTATAAAGAGGACTGATAAACTCTGCTGAAGTTTAACAGAGAGAGACTCCCTCTGGTGGATGTTGTGCAGTATTGTGTTGTCTTTGCTCCAGAGGTTTTTGTACAGAGTGTTGGTGTTTCCTGTCACTGTGGGCTGCAGAGCACAGAAGTACACAGCAGAGTCTGTCACTGCAGAAGAGGAGATCTGCAGAGGAACTGATGTCTCGTTGATTTTAGCATCAAATCTGTCTTTCTGGAACTCTGCAGCATTAACTCCAGTTGCTGAGTAACGCATCAACATGTACTTTGGGTAACCATTGACTTCTTGTTGGTACCAGAACAGAGAGGGATATTTGTCAGTTGTCTTAAATGTGCAGCCAAGTGTAACTGTGTCTCCTTCAGTAGCGCTGACTTCTCCTGTTGTCTGGGTCACTGTGTCTTGTCCTTTACACTCTGGGGAAGAAGAGACCATGCAGAGGAAGAGATGAATCAATACAGATGAAGGATTAAAGGAGAACAATCAGTAGCTTTAAACAGTTACCTAGAAACATGTTGTAGTTTCTATCTTACCAAAGGAGAGAGCAGCAATTAGATTAACGTGTTGCAGAATGTTACGTACCTCTTAGAATGGAAACTAACAGTAGGGAATGTAAATAATAGTGTAATGACAGCATGTTGAATGAAGGTGATGATGATGGTCTGTGTTGAACTCTGGTGAATATGGAAGTTCCTCTCTCTTCTATAGTTCAGGAACATCTTAGCTCCTCCCTGAATCTCTCTGTCTCCTCTTAGATCTGTATTTCACTTCTCAGTTACACTTCCTCCTGGATATCATGTTATCACGTGTGTGTCGTCTGCATAGCTATGGCAACTTATTTCATTGTTATCCATTAACTAAGCTAGTGGAAGCATGTAGATGTTAAAGAGAAGAGTCCCCATGATGGAGCCTTGAGGAACCCCACAGCTCATATTCGTCCACTCAGATGTTGAGTTACCTATAGAAACAAAGTGTTTCCTGTCCTTTCAGTAGGATGCAGACCAATAAAAACAGTGCCAGAGTCCCACCCAGTTTTCCAGTCGGTCTAGTAATATGTTGTGGTCAACAGTTTCAAATGCAGCACTGAGATCTAATAATACTGACAGTGAGATTCTGCCACTGTCTGTGTTTAAGTGGATGTCATTAAAACGTTAATTAGAGCAGTCTCAGTGCTGTGTGACTGGAACACATCAAAACAGTTATTTAGTTCCAATACAGTCTTTCAGTTGTTGAACTTTTTTATTATTTTAACCGGCCTATAAATGTTCATCAGTGAAGCGCTCAGGTTTGTCTTTCAGAGTGGTTTGATGACTGCAGTTTTCAGGGCCTGTGGGAATAAATATGAAAAACAGGAAGTGTTGGTGAAGGTCCATCAGGAGTCTGGCACCTGGTTGAATGCTCTCATTGAACATTATTAGGATACATGTGAGAGATAAGTTAAAGTAACGTGGTGTTGAAGCATCAAATAAAGGAGGCTTCTCTGCTGGGGGTTGAGTTGTTTGAACATTAGTTGTGTTGTTTCCCTAAAGTCTGTCAGAGAGAGACTCCCTCTGGTGGATGCTGTGCAGTGTTGTGTTGTCTTTGCTCCAAAGGTTTTTGTACAGAGTGTTACGTTCCCTTCTAAATCTAGGGGGTACAAAGGGAAGTAACAACACACAAGGATGACCAAGCACGACAAAAAAGGAGAGAAAACCGATCTCTGAGTAACGAACAAGTCGTTTAATGAACAAGACAGGAACACGGGCTCACCAGCCAACTTGCACAGAATAATACAGCATCAATGTATCACGGAGCTCCCCTCCTATCAATCGGCAAGACAGAGGTCTGCACACATGCAGCCAGAGGAGGAAAAAAGGAGACCCCACTGCAGTCTTCCTCCGGTCCTATATGGAGGCCCTGATTTGGAATTAGGAGCACCTGGGGAGAGGCTGCACCTGGGCACAATCAGGCTGCACCTGGGGAGTCAGAGGGAGAGAGAGAAAAACACACACACGACCACACAAACACTACGGCACGTAACAAGAGTGTTGGTGTTTCCTGTCACAGTGGGCTCCACAGCACAGTAGTACACAGCAGAGTCTGTCACTGCAGCAGAGGAGATGCTCAAATAGATCTGGGTTTTATCCTCATCTGATTTAACGGACAGTCGAGAGTTTGATGCAGGTTGTGTTCCCCAGTGAAGGATGAGGAACTCTGGTGGTTTTCCTGGATATTGTCGATACCAGTAGAAATAATCATTAGCTGCTATAGTTTTGGAGTATCTGTAGGACAGAGTAACAGGGCTGCCTTCTGGACTGGACTCTTCTTGCTTTGATGGAGTGAGATCTTCACAGCTGACTGGAGAGAGGATTAATTCAAAGTAATCATTTAATAAATTGCATTAAATTAATCTTTAATTAAAAAATTTCGCTCAGAATGTTACATACCTCTTAGAACGGACACTAAAAATGAAACAATGATGTAATGACAGCATGTTGAATGAAGGTGATGATGGTCTGTGTTGAACTCTGGTGAATATGGAAGTTCCTCTCTCTTCTATAGTTCAGGAACATCTTAGCTCCTCCCTGAATCTCTCTGTCTCCTCTTAGATCTGTATTTCATTTCTCAGTTACACTTCCTCCTGGGTAACAGATCCAAAGGCAGTCTTTAAATAAAAAGTCAGAGGACCTAGGATTGAACCCTGTGGTACACCACGATTAATCACAGACCAACAGAGAATTGTATTTTATAAAGACAAGAAAAAAAGTAATCAAAACTTAAGTCCTTGATGTGTACCAGTTTATTGAGAAAGGTGATTTAAAGCGTTTGATCAGTTAGTAAATCAAAACGTAACAATGACTTGCATTAACGTGAAGACAGATTAGTGAGAAGTGTTTCATCTAGAGAGAAATCTGTTTAAAAGGATCTTAATCTAATATGAATGTTGCTTCATCACTCAATATTTAAAAGGTCTTGAACACCACAACACAAGCTGCTGTTCCAATAGAACCTATGATCACATTGTGCTCAGAGATGAACTGAAACCAATGAGAAAGTGAGAGGACCTAGGATTGAACCCTGTGGTACACCATGTGCAATCACAGACTCACAGAAAAACTTATTTTAAGTTCATGGAGACTACTTACTTTTATTTCAACGTGTGATAAAAGGACAGATTCAATGGTTGAGTTAAACATTTGAACCTGTGGATGTGAATCAAAGGCAGTACATGTTTTTGCATAATAGTGAAATGTACATACAGTATCATTGAAATGATCAAGCAGGTAAATGACATTACTGTATGATCACAAACTATTGATGTTTGTCAGAGAGAGGCTCCCTCTGGTGGATGTTGGGCAGTATTGTGTTGTCTGTGCTCCTGAGGTTTGTGTACAGAGTGTTGGTGTTTCCTGTCACTGTGGGCGTCACAGCACAGTAGTACACAGCAGAGTCTGTCTCTTTAGCTGAGATGATCTCCAGATCAACTCGTTTCTCTGTTTTGTCAATGTGAGCAGAGAAATCAGATTCAGTGGGATGGATCCCTCCTGCCTCTGTGATGTGGAGCAGGAACTCTGGTCTGGATCTCTGGTATTGTCGGTACCACTGGATATTGTAGATAGCCCCCTCATATTTACATGTCAGGCTGATGTTTCTGCCCTCTGCAACATGTTCTTCACTTCTTTCTGGCTGTATGCTGTTCATGGAGCCCAGGGCTGCAAAATGAGAATTACTCATGTCAGTTAGTCTGCAGGAGAATTTAACATTAAGAGACTCAACGGAGGGTCTTCAATTTCCTGTCATCTTTGATCAGTTTGAGATAAAACATGACCAAATGTCTTCATAGATCACAACGGTTGCTGCCTTACACAATCAAACCTCCAGGTATGAAATCTCTGGCTAATACAGCGGGTTGAATGAGACTTTATCTCTGTTCCAACACTCACCTATGAAGAGAGAGAAGAGTAAACAGAGGTAAAGCAACATGTCTTTGGAGATGTTGAAGTCAAACAGTCAGCAGATGAGTTCTTCTCCTTCAGAAGTGAAGCAGGAAACAGCCTCTCTGCTGCTCAGCCCTTCTCCTCAACATCAGATGATTGTGCTTTTAGTTCCTCAAACATCTCACAGATCATCTCATTGGTTGATATAAACGAGGCGGCCGCGGCAGTTAGCAGCTAGCGGCTAGCTAGTAATTATGCTAATTTACACATCAATCGTTATGTACTTTTATATTACGCTGTAACAGGATCTAGTGATATCCAAGCAACAGAGCTTAATTTAGCATGATAGGCTACTTGTGTAGGATTGAACCCTGTGGTCACCATCAGTTAATTATCAGTCATCAAGAGAGAACAACAGAGAAACATATTAAAGATATATAAGAACAAAAGCACTAACAAACCCAAGTCTGTGAAGTAAACCAGAGATTCTTGAAATGTCTTCAGTTAAATACAACATGAATCCATCCGTTTGTTTGGTCTCTTGTGTTTCATGTTGATCAGTATTGTGTTGTCTTTGCTCCAGAGGTTCCTGTCACTGGGCTGCAGACATGTTACAACATAAGCGTGTTTCCCATCTCAGAGAGCTTTTGTGGTTTCGTTAGATTGTGTCATCAGGCTCAGAGCTACCGTGTTTCTTCCAACTTCAGGCGCCATTAAAGCGAATTTTCCGATGATTCTGGCGCCTCTGTAACGAGACACAACTGTCGATGACTCGTTATAAATAGAGGGTGTGGAAGAAGGGACAGCGAAGCCTCTCAGATGTTCTTTGGCATTTATTCTGAGGACAACAAACACACAATGTCCTTTAAACGTCCACGTTACACGTCACATCCACACCATACAGGAAGTAAGCAAAGACAACGGGAAAGTGTTCCCACGGGAAAAATAACCAACAATATTAAATGAAACAATCTCATAGAAATACAATTCACAATTTATTACAAATTAAACATTCACAAATGTATAATTATGTATACACATGTTTGACTCCCTTACACCTCTACATTACGAGTTCTACATTTGACCCATGCTGAACCTTTCCACTGAGTTTAATAATAATCCAGGCAGCATTGTTTCCGTAACTGAGCTGGAGACACGCCTTAGGAGAGGAAACTAAATGTTCAGTGGACCTTTGTGTCTCAGGAAACTGTTTTATTTTGAAAGGCTGTCTGTAAGGGTTGTGATTGGACGGTTGCTTGATGTTTTTTGGCATGGATGATTCTTTTGTAATTAGGCTTGACCCACTTCTCCATGCCGGTTCTGTCTGTAGGGGATTGGACTTTGGACCAAAGGGTCGCCGGTTGAAGTCCCGATCGCACCAAAAAATACGGATTGTGGACTGGTACTGGAGAGGAGCCAGTTCACCTCCTGGCAGGGGCGGATCTAGACAAATATTCATGGGGTGGCAAGAGGGTGGCAGGAGATTTTGAGGGGTGGCATCCCCTGACAGAAGTATATGCTGATTTAAATCGCAATCATATCAATCAATTAGGGGTGTAACGGTACACGTACCCGTACTGAAATTATTCAGTACGGGCCCTTCGGTTCGGTACACGTGTGTACCGAACGAATATAGCGTTAAACGTAAACAAATTGAGAACATGAACAACTTTCTGGAAGTAATCTCAGGTATATATCATAGAGCGACCAAGTAATTTCATTGGACGAGAGGCATACTATGAGAGCTGGTTACAGGGATGCGTTCAAATGTAGTCAGTAATTTGAGGAACTGTCGAAATGGCGAACGCAGATAAAGTTGAGCTGAAAATCCTCCAGCATCATTGAAGTCTCCGGTTTGGGAACATTTTGGTTTCGTAGTTACGTACAAGGATGACGGACAAAGACAGGTGGACCGAACCAAAGCTGTTTGTCGGTATTGTTCAACTAACATTGGTTACGCGGCTGGCAATACATCACACTCATTTGAAAAGGCATCACCCGAATGTGAATATCGCCGGTACCAAAAGAAAAAAGACTGAAGTGCAAACCCAACTCCCTCTAGCATTTAAGCCTCCACCACTCGCAGAAAGTTCAGACCGAGCCAAAGCTATTACAAACGCCAAGTATCCTTATGTTGCCATGTTAGCAAAGCGCTACCTGGCTGTGCTACCTCTGTCCCTAGAGAGGGTGTTCTCCACAGCAGGAGACATTGTTAGTGCCAGCAGATCTGCCATTTCAGCAAGCAATGTGGACACGTTCATCTTTCTTTAAACAACATGAAAATACAATGACAAGCAAGTCCTAATGTCAAGCTGGCTGCTTAGGTACTAGTACAGTTCAAATACAGATTATTTCAGTTCATCGAAATGCTGCACCTTAATGTTTATTTGACTATATTTTGTATTTATTTGAATACATTAGTCACAGTTTAATAATAATTTAAAAAATGTTTTTAATGTTTTGTGATAATGTTTTCTGCTGTACCGAAAACGTACCGAACCGAACCGTGACCTAAAAACGAGTTACGTACCGAACCGAAATGTTTGTGAACCGTTACACCCCTACAATCAATGTTAACTTGGAAAGCCACAATATTAATATTTTAACTCAATCACATAGGTGATATTATTGTGGCACATCAGTAAAGCCTTACATATAAGGTGGCAGACGTAATTTAATGAATTTTAACTGAACAATAACTGAATGAGTTTGTCTCACACTTAGACCAGCAGGGGAACCAAATCTATGCAGACTGCTGCAATAAGTACATTAATTAACTGTCTCATCTATGTTTGTCTGAATGAATATGATACTATTAACAATCATATTATTCCTATCAGCTGTCAATCACTGTTAATAAATAATAATAATAATAGATTTAATTTGTTAGTGTTTTTACAGGTGCTCAAAGACGCTTAGACAGATATAGTGAAGAACTGTTATGATTCACATATTCATTTATTATTGAATAAACTATATTTATTTTTTGGAGGAGTTAATGATGAATGTTCATCAAGATGCTTGCTCACCCTCCTTCAAATTTGAAAAACAAGTAATTATATCATTATTGATATACAGTTACAACCTTGACTTTACATCAGAAAGAACAAACATTAAAGAAGTGACTAACTGCCTCAGTTAGGGTTAAAAAACGTGTATTCAGCTAAAACATCGCTGCAGTTATTATCCAGTGGAAGGTCCTTACCTACTGGCCTAGTTAAATCAAAGTGGTTTTTTACATTACATTACATTACATTACATTGCATTTAGCTGACGCTTTTGTCCAAAGCGACTTACAATAAGTACATTCGACCAGGAAGACACAACCTTGAAGAAAACAGAATCATATAAGTATATCAGGTTTCATAGAGCCAAACATTTCAAGTGCTACTCAACTGGCTTTAGGTAAGCCAGTCCTTTATTAGTATATAAGTGCTTCGTTAATCGTTCTATCGCTCGAAGTGGAGTCGAAAGAGATGAGTTTTCAGTTTGCGCCGGAAGATGTGCAAGCTATCTGCCGTCCTGATGTCAATGGGGAGCTCATTCCACCATCTTGGAGCCAGGATAGCAAACCCACGTGTTTTCGCCGATGGGAACTTGGGTCCCCCTCGCAGCGAGGGCGCAAGGAGTCGTTTGGCTGATGCAGAGCGTAGTGCACGCGCTGGGGTGTACGGTTTAACCATGTCCTGGATGTAGGAAGGGCCAGATCCATTCGCAGCACGGTAAGCAAGTACCAGTGTCTTGAAGTGGATTCTAGCAGTTACCGGAAGCCAGTGAAGGGAGCGGAGGAGCGGAGTGGTGTGGGAGAATTTAGGAAGGTTGAAAACCAGACGAGCCGCTGCATTCTGGATGAGCTGCAGAGGTCGGATGGCACATGCAGGTAGACCAGCCAGGAGGGAGTTGCAGTAGTCTAGGCGTGAGATGACGAGAGCCTGGACCAGAACCTGAGTCGCTTTCTGAGTCAGCTGGGGATGTATCTTCCTGATGTTGTAAAGCGTGTATCTGCAGCAGCGGGTTGTAGCAGCGATGTTTGCAGTGAAGGACAGGTTGTTATCTAGGGTCACACCCAGATTCCTTGCAGTCTGAGTCGGGGAAACAACTGAGGTGCCGATGTTGATTGTTAGGTCAAGAGTGGGACAATCTTTTCCCGGGAGGAAGAGCAGCTCAGTCTTGTTAAGGTTGAGTTTGAGATGGTGAGCAGACATCCACTGAGAGATGTCAGCTAGACAAGCAGAGATGCGTGCGACGACCTGGGTCTCTGAGCGGGGAAAGGACAGAATTAATTGGGTGTCGTCAGCGTAGCAGTGGTAAGAAAAACCATGCGGGCTAATGACTGATCCGAGCGAGTTTGTGTACAAGGAGAAGAGGAGGGGACCAAGAACAGAGCCCTGAGGGACCCCCGTAGTTAATTGACAAGGGTCGGACTCAGACCCTCTCCAAGTCACCCTGTAGGTACGGTCTTTCAGGTATGAGGTGAGGAGGGAAAGTGCAGAGCCAGAAACTCCAAGTGCTTGGAGAGTGCGAAGGAGGATCTGATGATTCACCGTGTCGAATGCAGCAGACAGGTCCAACAGGATGATGACAGAGGAGAGGGATGCAGTTTTGGCAGTGTGCAGTTCCTCCGTGACAGCAATGAGAGCAGTTTCTGTGGAGTGACCTGCCTTGAAACCAGACTGGTGCGGATCCAGAAGGTTGTTCTGATTGAGATAACAGGAGAGTTGTATAAAGACAGCGCGTTCAAGTGATTTAGACAGGAACGGGAGGAGAGAGACAGGCCTGTAGTTTATAACATCAGACGGGTTGAGAGTGGGTTTCTTTAGGAGAGAGTTTACTCTTGCCTCCTTGAGACTGTTTGGAAAGTGACCAGAAGTTAGAGAAGTGTTGATGAAATGGGTGAGAAACGGTAGAATATCAGGAGCGATAGTCTGAAGGAGGTTTGAAGGGATAGGGTCCAGAGGACAGGTGGTAGGGCGGGCAGAGGTAATGAGGGTAAGAACCTCACTTGGAGAGAGAGGGGAAAAGGAGGTTAGTGTGTTGGTGGAAGGAAGGTCTGGTGACCCAGCGGTGAGTAAAGGTGAGTCAGAAAAAGAAGAGCGAATATCATTAACCTTTTTTTCAAAGTGGGTAACAAAGTCGCTTGACAGAAGTGAGGAGGGGGGAGGAGCTTTTGGAGGGTCCAAGAGGGTGGAGAAGATGGAAAATAGTTTTTTAGGATTGGAATAGGAAGATTGGATCTTATCTTGAAAGAAAGTGCTTTTTGCCTGAGAGATCGAAGCAGAGAAAGAGGAGAGGAGAGCTTGATAGGTTAGGAGGTCGTCACGGTGTTTGGATTTCCACCATTTCCGCTCTGCTGCCCTAAGGACGGTTCTATTAGCACGCAGTGCATCATTTAGCCAGGGAGCCGGAGGGGACTGACGAGCCTGCCGAGATGTCAGAGGACAGAGCGAGTCCAGAGTGGATGAGAGAGTAGAGAGGAGAGTTTCTGCAGCAGAGTTTGGAGGCAGGAGTTGGAACGAATCAGAGGAAGGGAGGGCTGAGAGCACCGACGAGGCAAAGGTAGAGGGAGAGAGGGAGCGAAGGTTACGGCGGACAAGTGTAGGATGGGAAGAGATTAGTTTGTTATGTTTGGAAAGGGATAGAGAGAATGAAATGAAGAAGTGATCGGATGTGTGGAGCGGGTTTACAGAGAGGTTAGAAGTAGCGCAGTTCCTTGAGAATATGAGATCAAGGACATTGCCAGCTTTATGAGTCGGTGGGGACGGAGACAGTGAGAAAGCAAAGGCGGTTAACAGAGATGTTAGTTCGTCTATCTTCCCCATCTGGAGGTTGAAGTCTCCGAGAAGTACAGCGGGAGGGCCAGTTTCAGGGATGTGTGAGAGGAGATGATCTAATTCCTCCAAGAAGTCCCCCAAGGCGCCTGGTGGACGGTAGAGAACAACAATGGTTAACTGTATAGGATGGGTTACTGTGACGGCATGGAACTCAAAGGTGGAAGGAGTAAAGTTAGGTAGCTTGAAGAGGGAAAAGCTCCATTTGGGAGAGAGCAGGAGACCAGTGCCACCTCCTCTGCCAGTGGGTCTGGGTGTATGGGAGAAGGAATATGCAGTGGAGAGAGCTGCTGGGGTGGATGTGTTGGATGGAGTAATCCAGGTCTCAGTGAGAGCAAGGAAATCCAGAGACTGCAGGGAGGCGTAGCCAGAGATGAAGTCAGCCTTAGGAACAGCTGACTGGCAGTTCCACAGGCCACCTGAAACTAGATGATGGATCTCAGTGGAGCATGTGGGATAGACGAGAGCAGGCCGGTTATATCGATTAGGAGATACACGGGGCCAGTGATAATTGCGAGAAGACACATGAACAGGAATGGAGAAAATACACATGATTATAGCATGAGGGGCTAAACAACAAAAGTGAAAATTAAAAACGCCAACGATACTTAGCTCAATCAAAGTAGGATTTGCCTCCTCTTTGCCTCCCTCGTGACTCCCGTAGGACTCTAATGTCTTTGTCAGTCTTACTCCCGTAGGACTCTAATGTCTTTGTCAGTCTTAGCCTGTCTGCCGCTGAAGCTGCCGCTCCAGGAAAGAGCTACCCGAAATGGACGCCTGATTGCTCAGTTCTCACAGCTGAAGTTAATTAGTTAACTATCTACAGCTGATGGGCGACAATAGACTGGCCCTGCCTATGTTAATAATGCAGGCTTGAGTGCTGAGAGCTGTAAAGCAGGTTTCGCCTGAGCAGATCTGAGATTTAAAATCTCTCAAAAGCGATTTAGCCGTTTTAGCTACAGTAACAATTATACAGAGTCGAATAAATGAAACCGAGAAGTCTAATTAAACAAGAATATAACTTACAGTGGTTGCTGCGTCAATAGGTAATGTTGTCACCGGGTCCAGATGCACACTGAGTTCATCAGTTTCTAAATGCGGTATTTAAATGCTTTTTGAGCTAAAGGATGACTGAGTCACGCAGTTCTACTTCACGCAATCAATAGACTGGCCCTGCCTATGTTAATAATGCAGGCTTGAGTGCTGAGAGCTGTAAAGCAGGTTTCGCCTGAGCAGATCTGAGATTTAAAATCTCTCAAAAGCGATTTAGCAAAGAAAGTTACTTTCTGTTGGCTGGGCAGTGTAGTTTTACACACCGTCTTATTTTACTTTTTCAGGACTTACAATTGTTTTTTGGGGGCAGACCCCCTCAAAGAAAAAAATATATACACGCATACAAGGTCATCATCTTAACAGTTTGTTATTCTCATCGAGTCATCCGTGAGCAGAGCATCAAGTTGGCATGTCTATTACAGCTGAATGCGGCGATTACTATTTTGTTCAGCAAAACGCCTCACAAACTGATTAAGATCAACAGCTGTAGTGCGTTTTGATTCAATGCTGAGTACAGCCAAACTTGAAATTCTCTTCTCTGTCATTGTAGACCGCAACTACCTCATTCCTTCAGTGCTTGGGTCCGAAAGGCTTCTCGTTTTGCGCCGTCCCGTTCAAATGAATTCGCCACCAATCATATTTCCACTCTCGCGCCAGTACCGGGGGAGGGGTTACATGACGTGCATCTTGTGCTGCATTCACTTGCACTCGGACATTAGAGACTTTCTCTCATAAATGTCCGATGAGCAACAACTTTTCTTTCAAAACAAAGATGCCAACTGGGGTGGCAGCTGGGGTGGCAAGGCTATTGTTTAGGGTGGCAGTTGCCACCCCATGCCACCCCGGTAGATCCACCCCTGCCTCCTGGGCCACTGCCGAAGTGCCCTTGAGCAAGGCACCTAACCCCCAACTGCTCCCTGGTGCCGGCTAGACTGGCTGCCTCCGCTCTGACCTCTCAACTGCGTGTTCATGTGTGCATATAGGCCTAAGTGTATGTGCATGATGTAAAAAGTGTTACGAACTCAGAATCTCAGGGTATAGGACCCAATTGCACGACCCAGGAGACAGAGGTAAAGTATTTCTAAGATACTTTATTTTCAATAGATGAACAAAAATAATCACTATCAAATCTCTGGATGAGATGACAAAAAGAGAACAAAAGAAAATCGCTCACGTAGTGAGGAACAAAATATCTTGACAACAAGGCGAGCATAGAACTGACCTAGGCATGAGACAAGACGAACTGACAAGGAACACTGGGAGACTGGGGAATTTAAACACACGACAACAAGACACAGGTGGAAACAATCAGGGAGCCTGGACTGACAGGAAGTGGAAGACAATACAACCAAACACCAACATCAAATGTGACTATCTCAACATTTCTGTCGGTGCACAACAAAAAGTGTGTACTGTGTGTGTAAAGGAGGGGGAGGGGTAATAATGTATGGAGAGGGCAAGGCCAATCCAAACATTTCAAAAATAAAAGCATGCAGCAGGAAGTTAAAACCAGTTAAAAAGGCAAACACATTTCAGAGTAAAATCACACAATAAAAAGGTATAAAACACACACACTTAAAACCATGCAATAATGAATCATTAAAATACATTGCCATGTGACATGTGTATAACCCTGAACCTGTATAAAAACGCATGTGTGTGAACGACAGAGTGGAACCTGAGGGTTTAATGAAGCTCCATCCTCTTCTCTGCCGCCCTCTGCTGGACACTAACAGTCATGTAAACCAGTCATGAAGCACTTAGTGTTAAATACATTTGACCGTGCCCTAAGTCTTCTTATCTTTTAGTTTCACAGAACGTTTTTAAACACAAAGGAAATACACATTTGGTTTTATGTAGATAAATCTTTCATGTTCATCCAACTCACCTGTCAATAACAACAAAGGAGCTGTTTTTATTTGTATTAAATGCACTGTATTTTCTGGTGTTGGAAATTACCAAGTATTATTATTATTGTTATTATTATTGTTTTATTATAAATGTTAAGTTGCCTTTATTTTCTATGAATTCTATTTATTTTTTCTTAAATCATATTTGTACTCTTTACAAATAAAGTGTATTATTATTATGAGTATGTTATTATCAGTGTTAGCATCATGGTTAGCACAGACAGGGCGTGGGTCCTTCAACTATGGAGAACAGAGCAGCTGATTGGTCAGCAGGATCACGTGGTTGCCGTTCATCCAATCGCTGGCCTTCATGCTGAAACGCGACAGCGCTGGATGGAGCAACCTGTCTTTCTGTCGGTGTGAACTACAGCATCTGACATAAAGTCTCAGAGGTTGAAGAAGCATCGCTGTCACCTGCCGGGAGAAACACCTCCACAGGTGAGCTCTGTTAGCTTTAGCGTTAGCATTCCTCCAGACTGAGGGGCGGCTCACACAGCTGTTCGGATCCGAAAAAGAGAGCCTCTCGCCGGGCTGCTGCAGGGAGCATCACCCGCTGTTTCTCTGGAGGATTCAAGGCTTCCCTTTTTAATGATTATTATGTATAAACCGAACGTGGTGACCGTCCTGATGGAGACAGGACTGCTCTTTAAATAGGAGAATGAGGGGGTGGGGGGGGGTACACGAGGACAGGTGATGGGGATGTGACCAGGAGGAGAAATAATAGAGTTCTGGCTGTAATCTCAGGATACAGAGATTCTTTGATACTATTTATTTTTTGGTGCTGTCTTTTCATCTCAGAATTGTCTTTTTCTGATTTTTTTTTTCTAAATTATTTGTTTATCTTTGGAAATCTCAGAATCCAGACTTTAATCTCAGGATTCTGAGATTAAAGTCCAATTTATCTTTTACTTTTAGTCACATCCCAAACATGGTTTCTCATGTGACCTTCACCCTCCTCCTCTTCCTCAAACTCAGCACATGTCATTCTCATAATAAATCATATTGTAAATGTTGACACGCAACAGGTTGTTCAATATGTGTGGAATTCCATTTAAGTCAATCATTATTATTAACTATGCCTATAAAAACATATTCCTATCATCTCTGCTTTATTCGTTATATGTCCTATATATATTCCTGTGGCACTGGTGGATCTACACTGCAGCTCATGACAATACATCCTGGATACTTGAACATATAAATCCTGAAAAATAGATACATTAAGGAATCCTGAAATCCCCTGGAATAAACCAAAAGTATGATTTAAAGGTCCCTATTACACTGTTTCTCATCAGTCCCAGGTCTCAGATATATCCAGAGCCTGTCTCTGATTGGCTGAAACACCAAACAGATCATTGCAGCATTACCCATAACCCCCTCTGTTTCAGCCCTGTTTCCAAAGTGCTGATTCTCTGTCTGTTACTTCAGATGAAAATAAGGAGCCCCTCCCCACGCCCCTCTGAGAGAGATCTGGTTACAAAGAACTCAATGGAGCTCTAGGAGGAGATTCAGGTGATAAGGGGGGGGGGTTACCCTGGTTGCTGATTGGCTAATGGTTACCCAAGACAAAACATCGTGATGACATCATAAAGTGGCCAAAATCTGATCAGCTCATTTTCAGACAGGTTTTTATAGAAATGGATCAAAAAGAGAGAGAATCTTTGTTCCTGAACCTTTGAGTCTCTTTCCACAGAGATAAAAGCATGAAGGCACGTTGTTTGGTCAGGACTGATGTTACTCATCATATATTTCATGCCTCCTTCTTTTTCAGTGCTCTTTAACTCTCTCTCTCTCAGGATCTGGTGAATGGGTGAGTGTTTGACCCCATGGAGCCGCTGAGGGACCTGACCTCTGACCCCATGGACCCCCTGCTGGTGGTGACCCAGCTGAGGGACCTGGCCTCTGACCCCATGAACCGCCGGGCCATCGTCCAGGACCAAGGCTGCCTGCCGGGCCTCATCCTGTTCCTGGACCACCCCAACCCCCAGGTGGTCTACTGCGCCCTGCAGGTGAGCAAACACACACACACACACACACACACACACACACACACACACTCCAAAAAGTCTCCAAAAATACACTTTAGTTTCATCAAAAATAACCTGAACCATAATACTCGATTTAAAGGTCTCCTATCCTGCAGAAGTCACTTTCTGATGTCTTCTCTACATCACCGTGTGTCCCCGTGTGTCCCCGGTGTGTCCCCGGTGTGTCCCCGGTGTGTCAGGAGACTCACAAAGTGATGTCTCCTCTACATCACCGTGTGTCCCCGGTGTGTCCCCGGGGGGACATTACTGAAATGTGGGCGGGCTTTACCCCCACGGCCAATCAGAAGCGTTGCTGTCAGAAACAATGAGACGTGTTCTGGAAGTAACATGGTCTGTGTTTACATTAGCATGCTAACACTCAGAGCTAACCTGCACTGGAGAGAGTGTGTGTGAAGAAGCAGGAAATGAAAAGGAAGTCACCTTGTGGTAAACCTGAGAGAGAGAAAGAGCTTGAGCTCAGTACACTGAACTCCTCACAGAGCTGGAGCTGTCTGTAACTGAGAATAAGTTCATATCAACTCCTTTACAGTAGTTGCACTATTGCTTGCGTTAGGAGCACTAAGGTGCCCAAAGCCAAGGGCCTTATTGTGCTCACTCAGGCGCTGCTTCAAACACTTCTCTGAGCAGGCTTTCCTACACGATCTGGCGGAGGTTAAATGGCACTTCATAGCGTTCATTTTATCTGTCGATGTTGCCGTCCAATTTTTTATTGATCACTTTTTATCGATTATTAATAGACATGCCGCCCTTCAGAGTTAAGAACAGGAACACTCCATGGTTTACTAGAGAACTATCTGATCTCATTCATGATCGAAATAAGCAATGGTCCTTAGCTAGAAAGTCTAACACTAGTGATGACTGGCTTCTTTTTCGTGTCCTCAGAAATAAATGTTCAGCCCTTATTCAAAAAGCTAAAGCTGATTACTATCTGAGCTTAACCACTGATTGTTTTAATGACCATTCCAAGTTCTGGAAAACAATTAAATCCCTTCAGAACAAGAAGGTTTCTAGTTTCCGAGAAGCTGAAGGTCAGTGATTCTTTTATTTCAGATTCAGATGGTATGTCTAATGCTTTCAATGCTCGCTTCAAAAAGGCTGGTCACATGTTTGATGAGCAAAGTCATGACTCCAGGGCCGGCCCTAGATTTTTGGGGGCCCTAAGCAAGCTTTGGCTTGGGGGGCCCCCTAAGCGCGTTCTCACTTCACACAACACGGAACCAACTTTTGTCTTATGATGTTAGCATGAGCACACATATTGTATAAATAAGCATGTAAACACCGTGGACCTAACATCCTCTAGGGGGGTCCTCACCTCCTCTAGGGGAGGTCCTCACCTCCTTTAGGGGGGTCTGGGGGCATGCTCCCCCGGGAAGATTTTTTTTGAAATATTGAAGTTGAAAGCATCAATCTGGTGCACTTTGAGAGCAACATTAAGAGATCTATGGATACATCTCTCAACACCCAGATGAAACAGAACTGTAAACAGATTTTATTTTTCTTATATTTTACAAATCACTCCCCTTTCAAACTGTATTCTTGTTTTGTCATATAGTATTTCACAACTGTTTTTCATTTACTCTCTCTGGCTGTCCATCTCATAATGTTCACATAGAAACTAGCTGTCAATAGGAATATCATTCAGAAGAATTATAATTTCATGTAAAAAATCTGTCACAAAAAGAGGTTGCACATTTAAATGCAGGTGTTGTTATGGCAACGTCAGTGGCCAGACAGCCACATGTACTGCTTACGTTCAAACATGCTGTCGACACTAAAGCAGTGGCATGCCACCATTTCAGCGGACTTTTTCTCAGAAATACTGTCACATAACATCCATATATTTCAGTGCTAGGTTGATGCTAAGCTAAGCTAACTATGAAACACTTTAACTGACAGGACTCAGGATCAACTGTGTACTGTAAGGTAGCTTCTAGCTTCATGTCGAACACTGACAGTAAGTCAACATTTCCCAGAGAGCTTTCTTTGAAACCACCAGGTAACGCTAAAAAACACTACATTTAGATTGTATGACAAAGTGTTTATTTAATATATCTGGCTAGCTATAGCTACTTGCTAATGGTTTAGCTTACCCCCGCGATTCAAAGTAACGTCAACGTAGCTGTAATTTATGCTTTGCTTACATGTTCGCATATCTTGGAAGTTTACTGACAGGTACATACCTTGTTGACCTGGCTCAGGTGGTGGCTCTGGGGTTGTTGTGTGAGCCACTTGAGAATTGTTGTCTTTTTTAAGAAAATATGTTCTTATGTCCATCTTCAACAACTCTGAGTCCGACTGACAGGTTATTCTAAACATTGTCACAGCTCACAGGATAGGTACCTGTCAGCCAATAAGACAGATGTTTATTTCCATTCAACTCTCTGGTTGGTCTGGGGTCTTGCCTCTGTTGCATTCACTGAACACGGGAAATTACAATCCTGCCGTCCTCTCTTGTGTCATGATGAGGTGCTGGTAAAGCACGGTTAATGTATTATATTATTAACTCAATAATATAATACATGACTTTGAGAGTAGGCAATAAAGGCATATTAACACAATTAATTAAACATACTTATCACGGCGACGGTGTACTGAGATTATTTTTATTTTTATTTTTTTCATTTTATTTTTTGTTGTTGCTAGGGGCCCCTAGTGGCTGCGGGGCCCTAAGCGGCCGCTTATGTCGCTTAATGGGTCGGGCCGGCTCTGCATGACTCTCTAAATGGTCGTACTCACAGCCCTAGTCAAGAGATGAACTCCCCTGTTTTTGATTTCGCTTCTTTCTCGGTCTCTGAAGTCTTACACGGTTTGCACTCTTCTTGACTGACCCTAAAAAGTCTGCCGGGCCTGACGGCCTCGACCCGTTCTTTTTAAAAATTGCAGCTCAGATTATAGCACAACCAGTAACTGATATTTGTAACCTCTCCCTGTCCACTCACACACTGCCAGCTGTGTGGAAGCAAGCTCTGGTATCGCCCCTCTTGAAAGCTGGTGATCCCACGGAGTTTAATAACTATCGTCCTATCTCAAATCTTTCTGTGTTATCAAAGATTATTGAGTCCCTAGTTTCTACTCAGCTAACACTTTTATTAAATTCACACAACATCCTTAACCCTATGCAATCTGGATTCAGATCAAAGCACAGTACTGTGACTGCCGGTCTGAAAGTCTTAGACGATATTAAGGCTGCTTTGGATAAAAAATCGGTTTGTGTTGCATTGTTTATTGACCTGGCCAAAGCATTTGACACTAGATCACCACATTCTGTCTAATGTTATGTTGATGTCTCGTTTCGGTCATAATGCCATTTGCTGGTTTCAGAGTTATCTAACCGACCGTACTCAATGCGTCAGGTTGGGTAGTACTGTCTCTGACCCTGTCACCTTGGAGAAGGGAGTTCCACAGGGCTCTATTTTGGGGCCCTTGCTCTTTTTATTATATAAATTCACTCTTGGCTTCCTTTTCAGACTTAAATGTTGTTTTTCAATTTCATCCTGTAAAAGGTTGGTCTCTGGCTTATTCCTGTCCCAGCTAGACTACGGTGATACCATCTATAGATTTGCCTGTCCCACTGTTTGGGCCAAACTTGACCCACTCTACCATGCTGCACTGCGTTATATATCAGATGCACCCTATAGGACTCATCATTGCACACTGTACAGCCTAACTGGATGGTCCTCACTTAGTGTGCGTAGGATGCAGCATTGGTTTTTATTAATGTATAAAGCCATTTTAGGAAAGCTTCCACTGTACATATGTGCCAGATCTGCTCCAGTTTGTGACTCTTATAACCTCAGACCAGGCCCGGCTCCAGGATGAAATGACTGAGGGGGCTGTTAACAAATCCGAGGGGGCGATTTTTTTTTCACAACAACGAAAAATACTGGCAATGTAATGAATTGACACACCAAGCTTTTTTCCTTCTCACTGCTCTACAATCTCTTTGCTTCTTTATTTTTATTCTGGATTGACCCCTCTCGTTCTGTTCCTCTGATCTTTAATAATAGATAGTAGATAGTTGATAGATAGATGGCTGCACTTTGGTTAACAGACTAACATTGATCTCCTCAATTTATAAATGGACAGGCTCTGTAATTATACCATAACCTTTTCTCCTCTATCCCTTAACTCCTCTTCCTATACAGATTTACTTGCTTACTATCTACTCTAGTCTAGTCAGGATTAAAAAAACATTAATCTGGTTGATTTTTTATTTTCAGGATTGAATGTTCAGACCAAGGCCTAAAACCTGGCATTTCATAAGAAAGTGACTAATATATAAACCAAATGTAATATTGGATCAAACACCACACCAAATGGACAGACACAGATTAAACATGAAGTCCCCTGGTTTGTCTCTAGCGTCTAACTGCCATGAGAAAAATCAAATCAATGTTCCAAAATCCGTCACTAGATGTTGCTCATTGTACCAATATGGTTGATATAATACATAACATATTATTATTCTAGTAAAAGGGCTCGCTTTGGCAAAAACCTGATCCATACAGGCAGCCCTAAATAATAACAAGTAACCATCATATGTGGTGCTATCTGTCTGTCTTATTTTTTGTTGATGTCATCTTGTTTTCACAGAGCGGTGAACATGAATTTCCCCCTGGGGACAAATTAAATCAATGTTCCAAAATCCGTCACTAGATGTCGCTCATTGTACCAATACGGTTTCTATAATACAGATTACCACAACAGAGCTGTGGAAATGATTTCCCCCTGGGGACAATAAATCTAAACTAATTTAATATTCAATCCCACACTTAGCGATTGAGAACATAAATGCGTAACTTACCTCGTTTAAAGCACTTTTGTTGTAATCCTATGGATTTAGTTGACACGACTAGCTGAGTTTCTTTTGTCCAATATTTCGCGGGCAAGTACATTGAATTAGAAGTAGAAGAAGAAGAGGTAGAAGAAGAAGTTACAAGAACTAAAGAAAGTGAAGACAT